AAAGAAAAGATATATCAGTATACATGTTATACGACGAGTAAAACTCTCTAACAATTATCGAGGTTTGAATCGAGCGAGACACCACTTAACACGCCAGGTGTACACACCCCAGTGAAACCAGCAGTCCTTCGTCCCGTTCCTGGCACCGCCTACGCTGGGAGAGCACCGCCCCGCCAGCTTCCGCAGGCCAGCCGCCGCTGCCGCCGCCTGCCGCCCGTCCCACCGTAGTCGCGCCCGCCGTTCCCGGCTCGCCCCGGCCACCTGGCCTGCTCCTTCCTGGCACATGCCCACCCCCGCGCTCCTCCCGCCGCCCTGCCCCCGGCCACGCCGGCCCTGCCATCTGCACATCCGCCCGGCCCGCCCGCATCCGCCCCCGCTTCCGCCCCCAGGGCAGGGGCCCGGCTCGTCCCAGGCTCTGTGCGGTCGCGGGGCCGCGCACGGCCCGGGCGGGGGGAGCCGGGACCGAGAGGCGTCGGCGTCGCCCGGGGGGGCAGCGCGCGCTCGCGGGCCGCGCACGCAGCTGCGTCCGGCGCCACTTCCCTCCCGAGGCGCTGCTCCCCGGAGCGGGCGTGGGCTTGCGGCGCCGCCGGCGGCTCCTGGCCGCTGCCGCAGCGGTGGAGCGTGGATGAGGGGCGGCGAGGCTAGGCCGCTCCCTGTGTCGCCGCCCTTCGCCCGCAGGCCGGGCGGGCAAGCCGCGCGGCGCGGGCTCGGTCCAAGCCTCCGGGCCGCGCCTAGGATCGCCTGCCCGCCGGCGGGCGCACGAGACGCGGGCCGACCGCTTTTTCGCTGTTCGGGCCGGGGCGCCTCCCCCGATGGAGATAAGCTGTAACAGATGTTCAGCTTGAAGGGATTTCGCAAGAGCGGGCCCAAGGTGTCCCTCGCGGCGCGAGTCCGGAAGGTGACGCCGCCCGGTGCGCTCGGGCTCCGGAATCGTCGGGTCAGAGGTCAGGTCGGGCCCAGGTCGTTCAGGGCACGGGCGGCTGTTTGGAACAGCTCCTGGGGGCCCGTGGGAAAGGCACTGTGCACTGCTCCCCAGTGACAGCCTCTCCGCGGATCCGACCCGCGGCGTGCTGCAGGGAGTCCCGCCCCGGTGTGCGGCGCGCGGCTCCGCGCGTTTGCAACGTTCGTGCTGAAACCGCGGACGGTTGGGTTAGTGTGCAGGGAGAGCCTCCAAAACGTGTGATACCCACGGCCGGTTAGGGCTGGTGCAGGGAGAGCCTCCTCGTGTATGCATGCCGACAGCTCGCACGTTTCACATCTTGCTGAGAGCCACCGCCAAAGTTACGGTTAGGTGCAAGGGGAGTGCCTCCTCGGTGTAGGCAGTGCACAGCTCCCGCACTTTGCACATCTTGCTGAGAGCCACGGCCGGTTTAGGGTTTAGTGGTGCAGGAGTGCCGCCCCGGTGTGGGGCGGCGCGCGGCTC